AGACTGAGAATTCTAGTGCCTAGGAGGCAGAAGGCTGAAGATACCACCATCAGTGGCGTGATTAAGATTACAGAGGTGCATAAAATCATAGAATCCCTACGGTGGGCGTGCAGGCCATTCAGCATGTCGAGTCAACATCAACCTTTCAAAGAGCATCCCACCCAGATCCAACCCCCTACCCTATCCCTGTAAGCCCGCATTTACCATGGCTAATTCACCCAGCCCGCACATGCCTGGACACTATGGCCAATCCACCTAACCTGCACATCTTTGGACTGTGAGAGGAAACCACAGCACCCAGAGGTAACCCACGCAGCCACTCAAGGAGAATGGGCAAACACCACACAGTCAACCAAGGCTAGAACTTAACCCGGGTCCCTGCGCTGTGACCCATTGAGCCACTGGGCCTCCCCGTGCAAGAGGCCAGAATTTGAGAAGCAATAGAGATCTTCAATGCTTGTACTAGTGGAGAGGCAAAGGAATTGCAAACATGATGGAGAAATTGAAAATCAAGGTTTTAATAGTTTGAGAGCAGAGGGAGGTCAGCAATTAGAGGACTAATGCATGAATAGGACCTGTGGTGAGTTAGGATATAAACAGCAAAAGTTTGGACAAGTTCATGTTTGTGGAAAATGAAAAAAATGGGGTCAACAAGCAAAACAGTGGAGTAGTTAGGTTTTTGGGTTGCAAAGGTATAAATGAGAGTTTCAGCATTGGGTCAGTGATAGAGATGGGTGACGCTAGAAGTGCAAACTGTTGATGATAGACTAGAAATGTGTCCAAAGCACACCTAGGCCTTGAATAAAACAGTCTGACTTAGTCACCAGGGAGCAGGATGGAGTTGGTAGTTAAGGGACACAGGATATTACTGCAGCATTAGAACAGGATATCACTATAAGCAGATATTGCGAAAAGTAATGTAACCTAAAAAAAAAATTTTGGCAAGCTATTCAGGAACATGTGTATAGAAATTGAACTTTGTTGAGAAGCAATTTTAATTTGGGGAGCCAGATTCCATGGGCAAAGTACATCTGAAAATCCTCCAAGGCGCAGCTGGGCTGAACTCATTAGATATTTAAATGAAATATGTAATATCTGCTTCAGGTCTCCTTGCTGAAATTAGATTGAGATGAACCCTCAGGATTATTCCATAGAGAATAAGATTTTCTTTAAGAATGATTTAAATTTCATTGTTCTGGAGCAGGAATACTAGGATTGTTCCTGGAATGCCTCACTGCATTCCTGCATTCACATGCTGTTCCTGCATTCCTCACTCTCAGGAGTGATTGGAAACACACCCAACACAAAGGGAAAGGAAGATATCTGTGATTGTTAGAAATGTATTATCCCAGTCGCAAGATATAATTGCAGGACCTCCTTGGAGAAATGACCTTCCAGCATTTTCAGCTGCTTCATCAATGCCTTTCCTTTCAAAGAGGGATGCTTGCTGGTGATTGTGTTCAGTTGTATTCACAACTCCTCAGATAACGAAGCCTTCATGCTGCAAGATCTGGGCAACATTCTGGGTTGGCTCAGAATTGGGAGTAAAATTCAATTGGTCACACAACTATTGGGAAATGACTGGCTCCAACAAGAGAGAATCTGAGCACGTCCCCTTGACAGTTAACCACATTATCATCGACATCTTGGAGGAGTTATCATAAATCAGAAACCTTACCACATTTCCTGAGTCCCCAAAGCTTCCAACTATCTACAAGGTACAAATAAGGAATGCGACGGAGTACTCTCCGCTATTTTGTTAGAACCCGAGAGTGCTTGAGCAGCTTGGAACCATCCATGTGGCATAAGTCATAATATCGCGAAGCTAGTAAGTAATCCAGAGGCTAGGTCAAATGCTTTAGGGATGTGGGTTCAAATCTCAACCAGGGCAAATAATGAAATTTCAATTAAGTTGAGAAATATGGAATTAAAATTTGGTCTGACAGTGACCATGAAACCATGGTCGATATGTCAAAAAATATCCATCTAGTTTACTAATACCCTTTAGATTATGGAAATCAGTTGTATTTATCTCGTCTGACCTGCATGTGATTCCAGACCCACAGCAATGTGATTGAGTCTTAAATGCCTGCTCAAGATTTTTTTTTTTAATTCATTCACACGATGAGGGCATTGCTGGCTAGGCAGCATTTATTGCCCATTCCTAATTGCCCAGAGGGCAGTTAAGAGTCAATGACATTGCTGTGGGTCTGGAGTCACATGTAGACCAGACCAGGTAAGGATGGCAGTTTCCTTCTCCAAAGGACATTAGTGAACCAGATGGGTTTTTCCAACATTTGACAATGGATTCATGGTCATTATTAGATTCTTAATTCCAGATATTTATTGAATTCAAATTCCACCATCTGCTGTGGCAGGATTCGAACCCGGGTCCCCAGAACGTTATCTGGGTCTCTGGATTAACAATCCAGCGATAATATCACCACGCCATCACCTCCCCTATGGCCAAGGAAACAATTCAATACTGACCTTGCCAGTACTGCCCATATCCAGTGAAAGGGTAAAGCAAAAGGGAAGGGGTGGGGAAGTAGATGCATGAGTGCACCACCATCTGCAAATTCCCCTCCAAGCCATACCCTACCCTGACGTAGAGCCATATCCTTCACTGTCGCCGGTTCAAAATTCTGGAGATCCCATCTAGACCACTTAGACTGGAAAAGTTGAAGAAGTTCACTACTACTTTCTCAGGGCAATTAGGGATGCGCAAAAAATGCTGGCCTGGTCAAAATTGTCCACACTAGCCTCATATCCCATTATATTGAAATATATGTGCTACCTACAGTGGTACAACACGCCTGTGCAAACTATGTTCATGACACATTGGTCCTAATTCCAGTCCAGTCGAGCCCACAGTCTGAGCAGGATCCATAAGTGGAGAGTATTCCATCACACACCTGACTTGTATCTTGTAGATGGTGGACAGGCTTTGGGGGTTCAGGAAATGTGGTTAAAATTTCTCATCAATGGTAACACCCCCCCCAGGACGTTTATGGTAATGCTGTCCCAGGAATTTCAGGATTTTACAAAGTTTTTTGGAGGTTGATTTTAAGGTCACATAAATTTCACAGAACTTCAGGTATTCCAGGAAACAAATGTAGCCCACGAAAGTCATATAGGTTTGAAAATACAGTATTGGTCCAGGTTCTGACAGAAGGTGTTGTTTACTCAAAAAAACTACTGATTCAGTGCTGATCCAACTCAATGGTTTTTGAGTGAGTTTCTGCTGAGATTCCATGCACATTCACTGGAGAGCCAAGTGGGGGGAATGGCTGGAGAATGCATGCTGTTGAGAACTTTGACCCTATTCGTTGCTTAACACTACCTCCTTCTTACAAGCCGCGAATACATGACAACATCTCACACTAACACTTTCATATTGGTGTAAATTAATTGCCATCCTGCCTGCTATCTCTTTTCCCTCCTGCACTCCATCTGATATTCCCCAATGTGATCAATTCCACTGTTTGGCACCTTTTGTTGGAGACTTGCTGCATACTAACACTCTGTGTGTTGTTAATACCACAATATAGAAAAATGTCACTCCGTTGTTTCTCCTTGTTTTGGTTGCTACATATACAGATATCTAGGGGAAGAAATTTCTGTTCCTTAGTGAAAGTGTTGGAAGATCATCATAACGGAAATAGATGTGGGAGAAGACCCAGTGGGAGGCATCTCCACTCAAATACCTGTGTTTCATCTATTTATGCCCGAGAAGCAGTGCAACCGTGGATGTGGGAAATACTGTGGCTACTGTAAGAAATGCAAACTGAGCTATTCTTACACTTTTTAATTTCTCTTGTTTTCTTTTATTCCTGGGTTTATCTGCAAATTTCAAAGTACCTCGGTCATATTCAGCTAACAATCTTGCAACAGACAATGAATCCCATTCAAGAATGTGGGTTTACCTTTGTCACTCATTTGAGATTTTTATGCATTTCATCTACAACTTTGCAATCCCATATATGTTTATTTCCAGTCTTCAGAGAGTGAAATCTAAAGACCAATGGGCCTCCTAAGAAATCAATATTAGAAGCAGAGGATACAGTGCAACAGGGAGAGAGTGGGACAGTGGGGTTCATTTTGATGTGTTTTGGCAAAGAGCTGGCACACAGACACAATGGATAAATGGACCTGTAGGTATCAGTGGTCTTAGTAATGTAAAGTGTGATTCTACAGCTAATAAAGACATGAAGTACCATTGCAGCCAACAATATGAATTTGATGATGCTGTGTTATTACTTATCCTGCAAAATTACACAGCTATTAGCTACTCAAAACATGTAGTATTTGAAAAGTAATGAACAAACTCACAACAGATTTCAGACCTGCAATCCTGATTGTTATATCAAGGATATTGTGACATTGCAAATAATGAGCATCAGACTTGGCCATCACGCTTCCTCAGTGTTAACACCTTTACAAGAAGAGTCTTGTAATTGTGATAGAAGTGATCAGAAAACTCGAAGAAGCTTTTACACCTGAACAAATAGAAGTACGATTACTGAACAAACATCACCATATGAGCATGATTAAACAGTCCACCACAGCCTGGAGAATAAATAACAGAATATGGACACAAGTGAATATATCAGACCTCAAACTGAGGTCTACATTTTGCTGTAGATGTTTAATCATACGCTGTTCCCTGGTTATACTTCTTTGTGAGTTTGTAAAGGCAAATCATTCTCAGCATATTTACTTATTTTGCACAACATATATAAAATGCCTCCAAAGCAAAGCCTGAAGCAAGGAATTACTCAGTTTCGCTGAGTTTTCCTCAGGACTCCTGAAGTTGGAATCAATGAATCTTACAAGAAATATGCACATTGTCTAATATAAGACCAATTCAAATATTGGACATAAACAAATTATCAAATTTACACCACATCAATTTGAAAGAATTAGAATTAGAGAAATCATCAGGCTGTAAAAGTGCCCACCCTGCCAACATTAAAAATCAATTTTCTCTTCTCACTTACCGGACCATGGCTTGGCAGCGTTCCATAAGGTATTGTCTGGGGCAGTAGTCCTTTCTGCTTCATTAACAGCAAACGCTTCTGCTCCTCGCTAATATGAGAAGCCTGAGATTGAACATGTGGCTGCTGTTGTGGCAAGTAGGGCATCATGGGAGCTTTGTTCTGATTAGCCATTGGTGGGGTCATTCTCTGGCCCACAGGCTCAATGTTATAATGAGACAGTGGCTTAGTGTTAGCATATGAAAGCATAGGCTGTTTGTTCACAGAGGTCTGCCCTATCGTATTTGGCTGTTGATTCATTATGTTCATGGGGTTTTGTGAGAGGTAGTTATTCATGGCCTTCTGAGGGTTGTTTGTCATAGTAGGCACCATAGGCTTTTGGTTATTAAAGGCCTGTGGGTACATCATCGGGCTATTTGGCTTGTCTGGATTAAAGGGGCCTCCGAAAGGGCTGTGTGGTGGAGCTGCAGGTGACCAGCTGGGTGTCGGATTCTGCTGGTGTGGTTGTGCGTGCTGCTGTTTTTGTTGTAACAGCATCGCTCTTTGCTGCTGCTGAGCTGCCATTTGTTTTAACTGCTCAGCTCGAGAAAGATCAGAACCACTTGACGGTAGAGTTCCTGGCCCAGATCCTGGCCCTGGACCCTGTCCTGATCCTGACCCAGAAGATGTAGTTAACAAAAAGCCATTTCCAGACCTTGCATGTGCTTGACTTTGATTTGGGGTTTGCTGCTGGGGTTGGCTCACAGACGTTACTGGTGAAGTGGCGGAAGCAGAAAGGGATGAAATACTTGACACAGAGGACACACTGGAGACTGTAGAGACATTAGAAAATGGAGGGCCGGATGAAGATGGCCTAACTTGTGGAGATCCCATCGACATCTGATTAAAAGGAGATTGGCACATCTCACTCTTTATATTTGTGTTTTCTGGTGGGATTGGGGTCTGTGATGTGGGTCTGATAACCTCCATCTCTTTCTTTTCATCAAAATCCTCATTAAACAGATCATGCATATCATCTTCCGGAACTGTGCTTGTTAGTTCATCAATTAATTCCTGCCATTCTTGCTCATTAAGATTGATATCGGAGAACAGTTTGTTCTGGTGGAGAAGGGAAGCATCTGATGAGTCCATGCAACCTGGATCATCAATTGGCTCTTGTTTAAGCTCCTTGGTTAATATTAGGTTGAAGTCGTCTTCGTCTCTGGTGCCATTAGCCTGCAGGTTCACTCTGGCATGTCTGTTCTCTTTGCTTATGTCATCAAAGCCTGTCGAATTATTTCCGCTGGTTGGTATTGGCAATGATGACTTTATGTCAAGTTGATGCAGAGGAGAGACTGAAGGCACAGGGATCTTACTTGACAGGGTGTTGCTGTGGTCTAACCCAAGTCCCTCTTTTCGGACTCGTTTGCTACTTGGAGAGAAGCTGCTATCAGAAACTCCATTTTGCAGGTCACCATTTAACGGGGAACGTGCTCCTTCAAGCTTCCTCTTTACAGTTTCTTGAAGCTTTAAGAGGAACATAAAAAAAAACTTAATTATTAAGACTTTTCACGACTCATTAAGAATAATGTGATTCGATACAATACAAACTTGTGATCATATACAGTTGAACTCAAATTGTTGCAAAATCCCGAGGAACAGGGAAGCATTTCAATTTTGTTGAATTTTGTTTATTGAAGTTAGTTTCCTGTCACAAATGATTATTCAACCAGGGCCACTTTGTAATGGATGTGACAGAAGTGTCAGATTTTTGTCAAAGTTGAGTTTTGTTGGTTTTGGGGCTTCTGTCAGTCCCCTGATACCTGTCTCAGCCTGGGTTGCTTTAGTTAGTATAAATGGGGGCAACTGGTGGATTCTGGCTCATGGGTGGAACTCAAGTGCAAATGAAGAGAAAGATCCTCCAAGAATATGGGGCTGACAAAGAGGGGAAGAGGCTGCTGCAGGGCACTCTTCTGCAAAATGTGACCATCAAACCTGCAACGGAAACCTCCTGAGGCATCCTTTCACCAAGGCAGTCCTGAGGGATAGAATTCAGGTGGGCGTGGAAAATTAACCACGGATTTGGGCTCTTTACACATAGTCATTAACACCCCCCAGCCCCCATACTCCCCGGCCTCCTCTACAGTCGCATGGAAGGGAGATAAAACTTTTATTTTCACTGGTGTGGAAGGAGGGAAATCTCCAGCAGGCCGTGAGTCAGCAATAGCTCCATATTCCAACCATACTCTACAGAATGTCGATTTAACACCAGAATTCTTTTCAGCAGAGTCAGTATTTAGGTAAAGCTGCACTAAGTTACTCCAAAATAGTCATCTTTAGACAGTGTAAATTCTATATTCTTAAGATTTTCAACTAAATGTTAAATTCCATTCACTACTTGGCCATTAAAATTTATGAAAATTGTGTGTTTTTAATTACTGCAGCCATCCTTGCCCCTCAACTTCCTTTTCCTTACCCATCCCTGCCCGACAGACCAGCTCACACAACTCCTTTGTGGACTGACTGTCAAATTTACAAACTCATTCTCAGATGCAAAATTTTCTGCAGTTTGGTTGTTTAGCAAAATAAAAAGTATAAAGCTTATTGGATGGCGTTACTTTATTTATACTCAAGACCAGTGTTTCTTTTGCTAGAAGTTGTGAATGGAGGGAAACAGGTCCTTAGCATTTTTTTCTTCTTTGAAGTTAAACTGACAAAGAAACTGTGTTAGTTTCTTGCATGCAGATATCTATTACTTGCTTCCAACATAGAGAAGGCCACATTGTAGAAATGTGAAGGAGCACGCAGATAGAAAGGACACATGGAAAACACTGGCTAAGGAAAAATGAGTGGTGATTATTTGACTTGTATATCGAACATTAGATTTAATTTACAAAGCTGATTTGGGATATTTCCTTGTGAGAGCTTTTATCTTCACATTATGGCCAAGGAGTATTATCCAGAAGGAAGCTTCAGTATGGGGCTGATGTTTAATGGTAATTTGGGGTTGCATTTACTGATTTTTCAATTGAAAGTTGAGGGACAGCCCAGCCAGAAAAAGAATCATGGAATCCCCATAGTGTGGAAGCAGGCCATTCAGCCCATCAAATCCACACTGACCTTCCAAACAGCATCCCACCCAGACCCACCCCATCCCTGTATTTCCTGTGGCTAATTCACCTAGCCTACACATCCCTTGACATTATGGGCAATTTAGCGTGGCCAATCCACCCTAACCTGCACATGTTTGGACTGTGGGAGGAAACCCACGCAGACACAGGGAGAATGTGCAAACTCCACACAGACAGTTGCCCGAGGGTGGAATCGAACCGGGTATCTGGCGCTGTGAGGCAGCAGTGCTAACCACTCAGCACCGTGTCGCTCCATTCCGAGACAATGATTCTGTTGTCTCCTTCCTGCTCCTCCTCCTTCCCCCTGCCACTCCTCAGTTCACACTGAATTTTTGCTGGCTAAGTTGTGCAGCGTGCAGCAGACCACTACAAGGTTTGTCATGCCCTTTGGTAGGAACAGCTCAGTAGTGCAAACAGCAAAAGCATTGTCAAATAATGCAAAAGGATTGTTCAATCACATTTTGTTGTGATAGCATTCCTTTTGTTATATGCGCACATGTGAGTTCCATAACAGTGCCATCAGTCAAATGGTGGGGGTGATAGCTCTTTTCTTCCAGTAACCACCCTCTTGTTTGTTGAGGAGGCTCAAATGCTGACGGTACAGCAGAACAAAACCATCCTGACTGTTGTCAGTATAGTAAGCATCGGTCTGCAAGATGCGACCATTTCAGCATCATCGAGCTAGACACTGGAGGAGTGGAATCCCCAGTGTTTGCCATGTATCTCAGAATTAATATCAGGCATCTACAAAGCCATGGGCGTGCAGTCTACAAGTGGGGAACCCTGCATTCCTTGTGAAGTTGTTTGCCCTGTTTGCTTCCCTGCAGCAAGAGCAAAATAAGTTCACATCAGCACTGTTTAGATACAGAGCTTCAGTCATCTCTCCTATGCAACAAGAAGTTGATGAAAAAGGGAAAATTGGAATCACAGTGGTCAGGAATGTATAAGAGGATTGTATGAGTTTTTAATGGTCTATGAAAAAAAGGAGTAGCTAAAGGAAACCATGGCCCTTTAGAGACAGGAGCCATTGGCACATGAAATGAAGAAATAGCAGAGGGCACTGAAGAAATATTTTGAGTCTGTCATCAAAGCAAAAGATACAATTTATATACCAGAAATAGAGGCCATTAAGAACGAGGAACTTAAAATAATTACTATTTGCAGGCAAAAACTATCAGAGAAACTTAAGGGGCTAATAGCCAACAAATCAGAATGTAATGGCTTACAATCTGGGGTTCGAAAGGGCACTGCTGCAGAAATAATGGATGTGCTGGATTTTCTAAAATCACTTTACTGAACCAGTCCCAGCAGATTTGAAGTTAGCAAATGTAACACTGCAAATCAAGAAAGAAGGAAGTAAAAAAGAATCAGGGACCGAGCATCAGGTGTCAGAAAAATGATATTTATTATTAAAAAAGCCTTTATAAATGCCCTTAAAAATCATAGAATGATCAAACAGAATCTAAATGGCTTTATGAAAACAAGGCATGCTTGAAAAATGTATTAATTTTTTTTGAAGATGTAACTAGAAGGCTAGATAATGGGGAGCCAGTAGATGCAATATCCTTGAATTTCCAAAAGATATTCAATGAGGTGCCACGTAAAAACAAAGGACAGGGGCTCTTGCAGATGGGTGCCATGTGTAGCATAAATGGAGGACTAGTAAACAGACAGGAAGTACAGTGGGCATTTGAAAGGTAGCAGGCCGTAACCAGTTCAGTGCCACAACGATCAATTCAAGGTCCTCATATATTTACAATCTATATTAATCGATCCAAATTTGCTGACAATGTAAAGCAGTACACTGGGTTCAATGCTGGGAAGGTGCATCCACTTGCCCTTCTATTTTCAAAGTGGTTGACAAATGAACCTACTGTAGTATTCATAAGAAAACAGCAGATGTAATACACACTGGGAACTTTACAGTGGATTAAATTTATTTAGTTTTATGAGGTGGGGGGGGGGGTTAGATGGCAGTAAAATCTGGAAAACAAACAATTGTTACTGAACACTGTAGTACTGATTGACAGTACAGACCTGAGCACTGTTCTTTTCACCCCACCCTTCTCTATCCATTTGAAGGAGAACAAAAGCAAGTGACAGGAAAAATGACTTTTATGTTATCTGTCACACAAATTCCATTAACTAGCCCAAAGTTTTGGCAGAATCAGATACTGTGTGTGCATTTCTCCAGGACCAAAACAGCATTATTCACAAGCTCTGAATTATGAAAGCTCTCTGGAGGCTCTGCACATCTCTGTCATACCACTGGCATACTCCTACAGGCCTCACGGTTTCCTCAAACTTGGACTGTCGTTCATTAGTTATTGTACTCAAACTAGCTTTGTTTCCTTCATAACATATTTTGTGCCACACTTACAATGGTTCTTGTAAGTCGTTTGTTCCTCCAATAAGTCTCTGCTGAAACTATATTACAGCTCTTAAAAGGATACTATTTTCGTGCAAAATTGTTTTGGCAAACCTGTAACTTGTTTGTTTGCAAACACTTACAATGATGATGCAGATTGCATTTAAACACATTACCACCTCTCTTGAAAGCAATACCATATGCCGAAAAGGAGGCGTTTCATCTCTCTCCCCCAAAACAGGTTTGCTAAATACTTCTTCATGAACACAATGCTTCTTTATTAGCCTAACAGCAAAACAAGACCAAAAATATCTGGCATGAATGGGATCTCTGATGTTCGAGCTCTGCTTGATCCTGGGTCATGTGGTCCACAAACTCTAGGGCCGTGTCGTCCAAAGCTTTTAGTCCTTATGATCTGCACATACACATCTCAAGGTACCTAGGCAACATATAAAATTTCAAACCACTGTCCTATTAGTTTCCTTGTAGCCAATAATAAACAGGTCATCATAAGAGGCAACAGTCCTGAGAACTGAATTAGTCCAAAATTAAAACAGTGAATTTACAGCACAGAAGCACGCCATTCCATCCAACTAATCTATGCCAGGTGTTTGACATAACTTGAGCTTCTTTCTGCTGTACTTCAGGGGCTCTAATGGCACAGGGTTCATGTTCCTACCTTTGAGCCAAGAAACCTTGGATTCATGTCCCATATGTTCCAGAGGTGTGTTATTACCTCTTTGAACAGGTTGATTAGAAAATACCTTATTTTAAAAAATTCTTTCACAAGATGTGGGCAAGGCAATAAATTGTTCTGAATGGCTTCCTAAGCCATTTCGGAGGACAGTTAACAGTCAACCACATCCCTGCTGTTATCAGGCTTTTGAATGGACCTCTTTAATGTTAATGTTGATCTCTCTCTCTGCACCCTCTCAGCAGCTGTAACATTGTATCCTGCGCTCTGTTCTGTTACCATGATGCACTTGTATAATACAAGTTGCCCGTAAAGCACATAAGACAACACTTTT